TCAAAGTGAATACCTTCACTCCACCAAAGCGCTAGACCACCAGATCTACCTTGAGGATCAACATAAAATTCATTCTCTAGTTTGTAGGATCTTTTAATTTTCTTTAACTTCTTACTTCTCATTCTAGTTTCCATTAAGTACATAACAGAAGGCTTAAACTTTCTATTGCAATCCTTAAGATTTTTTACTGCCAAGGTAGCCCCCAAACCTTGACAGTTCCAGGAAAGTAGCTTCATGGTTCTATGAGGGCTGTTTGAGGCCACCCACCCATGCCTTCAGCATCACCAAATTCAAACCCCTCCATCCTATCATAGGGATTTACCTCTTGAGTCTTCACTACAGACTTCTTCCTTCCTCTCTTTAAAGCAGCCTTCCTTATCTTCATCTTTGTTTTCCTTAGACTACCAGCAAAGCTTGTAACAATAGAAGGCTGCTCACATACTGCTTCAGTAATTCTTCTCCTTTTACTCAGATCAGAAACCAGATTTTCTTCAGCCTCACGCTTCAGACCAAGCCTTTGGAAACTCTCCATCACCTCATGCAGATCCTGCTTCACATAAAGCACCAATGCTTGTTCTCCTACTTCTTCTTCAGGAGGCAATTCAACATTGTAACCACAGTTTTCCACAGTGTCCTCCAAGGCATATTCAAAATCGTCTTTCACCAGTCCGGAGCTAGATCCAACCTCATAATTGTTTGCCTTTGAAGTCCTCAGTTTTATGTCAACATTTTCAGTGAAATTCTCAACATCTTTTTTCATACTTAGATCAGCAGAGTCATCTCTCAACTTCTCTTTCAAACTCTCCTTCATCTCAGGAACCACATTACTCATTTCCTCCTTATTCTCCATTGAGAGTGAGAAAATATTCTCATTCTTGATAGCTTCTTTTTGTAACTTCCTCCTTCTCTCCTTAGTTCTATGCCACTTCACATTTATTTCAGGCCATACCTCTCTGGTTACAACCAGTGTATCTTCTAGCGTCTTTACCTATTCAGTAGTAGTCCATTTATTATAGCACAGTTTCTCAGGGTCTGGCACTAACATTATTCTTGGCAAGTTGCAGTTACGAAAATCATGAGCAACATTTCCACAGCAATAACAGAAATCGGGAAGTTTTTCTCATACTTGACAGAAATCCAAGTTTGCTTCCTATTGGGCTTTGACATCCAGAATCCAGCAACCAATGGCGTCCTAAGATCCAAAATTACTCGTATGTGCAAAAAACTACAAAACGTACGCTTGCTGTAATTAAGATCCTCCACAATTACTACCTCACCAATCCGATTCCCAATACTAATAGCATTGGACAGATTCGCTGCTTCTAAAGGAACTCCGTGCAGCTGAATCCAAATCGGGCATTTACTAAAATCGCAGTCCTCAATGACCATAAATTTCGCCACTTCAATGCAATTAGAAGTTTGAAATATCATAATCTCATGAATTATAGGTTAAATTTTTACAAACTAGATAACTTTGTTTGCTTTTTCCCTTTATTTCTTGTAGTTCTGCTTTGTGATCATAGGAATGACGTGTTTAAATTGCTTAAGATTTTTTGCGAAATAAGTTATAGATGTTGATGTAGTTAATTCTTAATAATTATTATTAATATAGTCCTCTGTGTGTGATAAGATGAGCTCCTATATTGTTGGTGGAATGGACGCGAAAAAAATTAATGAGGTGCAAATTATAGTGCTCCACTTGAGAGCCTTCTTCCCTATTATGTTCTGTTCACTAATATAATGGGAAAGAATCTCCCACCACTAATCAAGATTTCCTGTACATAATGGCCCACTCGTGAGTCTTCGCCGTCTGAGTTGACGAGTAGATATTGGAAAAACCAAGCCAATTAATTTGTCGCACTATCTAAATTTCCTCTCTTTAATCATCAATTTCAGTTCTATTTCCTGTCGTCTTTTTCTTCCCCTTCTACCGATGATAATGAATTTTCAGATATAAGCTAAAATTAACATGTTCCTTTTTAATTACTTCCCTGGTCTTATTTATAGAACAGAGAGAGAAGATATTTTTTGATCCTATTCATAAGGCACTGAGAGAAAATTTTTTTTCTATAAATGTACAATTTTACTCTTTATTTATTATTGTATTGATTTTATTTACATGAGATATAATATATATTAAATAGAAATAAAATTAAAAAATTGTTGAATTTTAAAAAGAGTTAATAAAATTTAAAGTTTTTTTTTAGTTTGTGTGAAACAGTTAGAGATAACGTATAAATAAGACCAGAGAAGTATCTCATTGCAAATGCACATTTCTCTTAATTGAATGTGTAAGATGTATACATATTTTTTTAAATTATACTCTTGTTTTTAATTAAGAGACTGCATGAGAGATAATTGAAAATTCATTACGGAGAAATAATAAATATCATATATTTAATAGGAGTAAAAGTAAAAAGGTAATTTTAAAACTTCATAAAATAGATGATTTATTTCTTATATTTAGTAATTTCGTTTCTTATAACCGAGGGAGTAGTTTGAAACAAAACTAACGAGAAAAAAACATGCTGAAACATAAATAAAACAAATATAAGTGAGATATAAGATCCAAGGACAAGTTAAAGCATAATCATAAGTCCACATTTACCATGACACTGCCACCATATTCTTATGCATGTAGAAGAGTACTGCCATAGCCTCATATAAAATTACGCTACTTGATCTCATTATATTAATATGAATACTAATTCAACAATAATACTGCTATCAACGTGGGAATTTAATCCTTGTTCTTCATCGCCACAATTAACATTTAAAGATTCTTTCCATTCAATAAATAATCGAAGATTTCACGCCTTGGGTAATTAGTTTAATTATAGTTTATTTCGTTGGTATTTTATTTATTTCTTATAATTTAATAATTTATAATCGAGCTTTGATTTTTATAAGTTCCATTTACTGCATGTAAAACAAATTGGAACACTTCCAATATGGGACGATAGATGACTTTTACAAGCCCACAAAAAATGGTCAGAGATTTTTTCTGCAGCAAAAACAAAAAGAATTTTATTGGGGAATTCTTGTAAAGACTAAACAGAGAAATTAAAAAAAAAATAATTTTTTGAAGTTTTCCTCCTAATATTACAACTTTTCATATTTCCTTTCCGTACATTCAAAAACGAAGATAACAGTCCACAAAGTCAAAACATTCTTCATAATCATTCCCAAAAAAAAAAAACTTCATATATTACTTTAATGATTATTGAGGATTGTTAGAATCATGGCAATATAGTTTTATGATTTAATTAGATTTGATAATCATCAATACTTGCAATTTCAAATAATTATGAATGGTGTGATAATTTTATTTTATTTTAATTGTAATCAATTTAAGCACATAAAATATATTAACACCAAATTCAGACTCGTGACTTTATTCAAATTGCCGTTAGCAATTTCGTTTCCTTTGATCATTATATAAACATCTTCACATATTACTGAAAATGGCAACAACCGAAGCAAAATTAAAAACGAACTGAAAATCACAAGTTTTCTAATGAAGACGGATACGAAAAAAGGAAAAATAAAAAACCAAAAATTACTAAATGTCAAATGAGGAATGTAAACAAAAACGAACTGAAAATCACAAGTTTTTTAATGAAGACGGATACGGAAAAAAAATGAAAAAAAAAACTGAAAATTACTGAATGTTGAATGAGGAATGTGAACAAAATATTATTTACAAATTCAGTGTTATCAATAGATTTAGTATGGGTTGGCTCATGGCGGACCTGAGGGCCGGTGGATTGGTCTTTTTAGGACCAATCTTTGGCAGGCTAGAAATTTTCCAACCCAACCCGCTAATTTTTGTGATTTTTTTTAAACTTTTTTTCTTTTAATAAAATCTACTCAAATTTCTAAATACCTAAAATAAAACATGCAAATAGAAATTATTATAAATAAAACATGGAATCTAAAGTTTTAAATATCTCAAAATATTAAACATACGATTACATGATACATTCTAAGTGATTTAACAAACATCCCAAATTAAAACATAAATCTAAATCAACAACACCACAAAGTCACAAACATAATGTTTCACTATACAAATCACTATCAAATGGTCAATCGTGAGTCATCACTCAATATCAACAGGCTTGGAGGCATGATTTGAAGATGTGAAATTATTTGATTGAGCTTAAAAAAAATTTAAAAAAAAAGGTAAAACAGGTCGGCTCACCAACCTGCAAGTTAGCCCACCACGGGTTATAGCCTACCACGGATTCGGTCTTGACGGTTATGAACTCAAAAAAATTATTTTAAAATCGTCCCAATTTTTATCAACCCAACCCCTTACTTCTTGACGGGTTGGCGGATTGAGTTCCCGAGCTCAACTTATATTATCGGTTCTAGTTATTAATACTAAATAAAATACTGTTGCCGAACCTCATTTAAAATTGGGTTAATATGCGCCCAGCACCCCGAACTATTTACCCAGGTGCGTCCAGTGGCCTAGAGTAATTTTGGGTGCATCCAGTGTCCTAAACTAATTAAAATGATGCGTCTATATCCTAGGCTAACAAAAAATGTTATGTTTAACTGTACTTTTCTTGACTCAGCTTAAAGTTTCCCTAAATATTCTACATGGTAGACATATGGGCATCCGATGTGTATTATTCTTACTTAAAAGTCAATTTATTTAAAAGAAGAGGAAAGAAATAAATTCAATTTTGAGTAAGAATAATACATATCAAATGTTCATATGTCTACCATTTAGAATATTTGGGGTTAACTTTAAGCTGAGTCAGGAAAGTAACAGTTAAACATAACAATTCTGTTAGCCTGGGATATGGACGAACCATTTTAATTAGTTTAGGACACTGGATGCACCCAAAATTACTTTAGACCACTGGACGCACCTGGATAAATAGTTCAGGGTGTTGGGTGCACCTTAACCCTTTAAAATTTAGTAATTTTCAGTTGTTTTTTATTTTTCAAAAGAAAAATTCAAAGCTTTCTTGCTGGTAAAGCTGAGCTTAAGTAGCATTTACGAGCTTAGAGTCTCGAGTTTCCTGGAGCTCACGAATCAGTGTCTTCAAGTTCTCGTGAGATGATCCTCCTTCCTTAACAGCTTCTCGAGCCTTCTCGCCCAGTTCTCTCGCGCGTCTTCTCATCTCCTCACCTTCTTCTCCTTCGTCCATCAACCTCCTCACCGCCTTCTCTATTCTGTCTCTCTTCACCGTCTTCTTCCTCTCGTCCAGCACCCACACTCCCCACTCCTCTACGCCCACCTCCACCCCAACACCCTGCACCTGCGTCACCAACTTCTCGTTGTAGAACTGGTCGCTGTGCAGCGGCCACGTCACCATCGGAACCCCCGCCCCCACGCTCTCCACCACCGAGTTCCACCCACAGTGTGTCATGAATCCTCCCACCGCCGCGTGGCCCAATATCTTCACCTGTGGGGCCCAACCCCTTAATATCAGTCCCTTTTCTTCTTTCATCATTCTCTCTTCGAACCCTTTCGGCAGCCACCTTTCCTTCTCTTCTTCCTTCTCTGCTTCATCTTTTCCGGGAACCACCCATATAAAGCTGTGACCGCAGGACTCCATGGCACAAGCAATCTCGTAGAGTTGGTTATCAGGGAGAGTGCCAGAACTGCCGAAGCAAATGTAAATCACTGAGTCGGGTTTCCTCGACTCGAGCCAACTCATGCATGGCTCGTTCTTGTGGGTTCCTTTTGCTGTTTCTTCCTCTGTTCTGTGGATAAGAGCCGTCGGCCCGATATGCCAAACCTTGTGGCCGGTGATTTTGTTGTAATGCTCGACGAACACCCCGTCGAGCTCGACGAAGTTGTTCACGAGCAGGCCGTAGCTCTTTGCCTCGAGCTCCAGCGGTTTATCTATAGCTTTCAAGAAAGGTATCGGCGGTCGGATATTCATGGTGATCGGAAGGGGAAGGTCCGGGATAGTAAACGCGTGGGGGTCCTGTCCGGTTATCGGATTCTTCTTGATGGACTCCATCACGCAGACGGAGAAGACGCAGAAGCTGTTGAAAACCAGTCTGGGAATCCCCAAGCGAGCCGCCAAGTCATGAGCCCACGGATACATGAAGTCCGCGACGAGACAGTCCGGTGGGTTTTGGAGGACGAAGTCCTCGAAGCTTTTTTGCAGCAGTGATGTGGCGGCCCGACAAACTTTGAGGAGACTATCGTTGTCGGTGACGGCAGTGAGATTCTCGACACCGTCGGGGAGGCCAACTTCCTCGGAGGGGAATTGGAGGGTGTGAATGTTGATGCAGTGACCGGCGGCTATGTCAAGGTGGACGTCGTTTTCAAGGGATATGGCGTTGAGGGCGGTGGTGATGATGGTCACGTGGTGGCCATATGCGGCGAAGGAGCGAGCCATTTCGCAGAGCGGGGTCATGTGACCAGCAGCCAGAAAAGGAATGAAGTGAAGCTTCAATGGGCGGCGGAGGGCTTCCACGGCGGTGGTGATACGGTTGGATTGCCATACATCCATGGATGCGGACGAAATATCTCTAACCAAAATCAATATTAAGATGTTAAGGCGAGCATAGCATGCAATGTGCTCCCACTTTATACAAGAAAATACGATGATGGGCGCGTTGCACGTGGCTTCCTAAAATATCATCTCGAGTGAATAGTGAAAAGCACTTAGGAAAGTTTTAATTTTTTTTTCCAAAATGAGTTATAAGCTAATTAAAAATGCCCTTTATTTAATATCAACCCCTAATTAATTAAATCACTCTTTAATGAATTAATCAGGGTATTTTTGAAACAAAGTTATTAATTAGTTGTTATTTTCTAAAACATCTTATATTATGGAGCATGAAACTCCACTTTTAAGGAATATTTTATGAATTGAAATGGAAGCAGTAGTACCCCCTCTATTATTGGGGTCATTCTAGAAGAAATTTTTAGTCCTTTCTATAAAACCATTTAATAGTTTCGATGAGCGTTAAATTTTTTTTCCAATATATATTCCCATTTAATGAGAATAGTAAAAGAATAGAAATTAATATAATATTAAAATTTAGTGTAATTAATAAGAATATATTAAAAATCACTTGAATTTTATAATAAATTTAAAGGTTAATATAATTTTTGGCCTTTTAAATTTGTTTTTGTTTTAGTTTTGGTCTCTCAAATTTTAAATAATAAGTTTGTTCCCTTAAATTTCTTTTAATTTAAAATATTGGTCTCTATAATACAATAAAAATTTGAACCATTTTGTCTATAGAGGGGGTAAAACCTATGTTTTAAAATTTGAAAGATTAAAACTAAGATGACAATGAATTTAAGAAACTAAAGTTTATATAACCCTAAATTTAAGGCTTTTAGCTGTTTTTATTGATAAATATAAATTAGTTAACGGACTCAACAGCCAAGATGGAGTACAAGTTAATGAAAGATGGTGAAATCTACACGATCTCCTGATCTCTTCCTTGCCATCCCCCAAAAAGGCAATGGGTTGACTGGTATATATTTGGAACCCATTTAAGCTTGTATTAAATAGATAGGAGTAATCCATGTGGGTTGAAAGGAATATAAGGTAGCCTGTTCACACCCCAATCACAAAAAAAAAAAAAAAAAAAGAACAAGTCGTCTACCTCACTAACAATTACCAGAGGTACATGGCATATATTATTATATTGCCCTTCAACTATCTCACATGCAATTAATTAAGAAAATGTGGTTAAGCCATTAAATTTATATAAAAATAAAAAAATTCAAATTTATTCATATTTAAAGCATGAATTACATCCGCGTCCTGAGAAGGAAAAAAAAGAAAAAAATTACATCCAACTTTATACAGGGACAAAGTTAAAAAGGACATAGCTAATACCTCAATTAATAATTTACGATAAGGACTACTCACAATCCTTCTAAAAAAAATGTTTTATAATAGAAATGAGAGGGAGTAGACGTAAAACTAAACGTATTTTCGGTTCAAAAAAGAATGAATGGATTCGGCATGGTACTAATTAATAATTAATTGTTAAGTTAAGGGCAATTTTTTTTTTTTATGCGTAACATTCTGTACATGCTAGAAGTTTAATGTACGACAACAAATTAAAAAGGAGTCATTAGGAAAGCTTTTGAGAAATATGAAGCAACATTTCCAGATTTTATGGTGACAAGATGGAGAAGAGCTTTGACACAAGTTGCAAACCTAGCTGGTTGGGATGCTAGAAACAAGTAAGTTTTTGAATTCTACTCTTGAACGTCACACAGAATGAAATTTCATTAAGGGCATATTCAGATAACATTGCAATTTCTTAACTATATACTGTCATATTGTTAGAGCAGTTCATTATTTAGAAGGCTGTGGAGCCAAGCTAGAAAAAATTTCCCTTGTTTTCTCCATTTAGAAACCTTTCCACGGCTAATAATGCCAGTCATTCTATATCAGCATTAATTAATGGGAGAATATCAGTTCGGTGCCAAAAGAACAAATTCATCGGAGTTAGGTTCTTGACAATTTTTTTTTCCCGAAAAATGAGTTACAAATATTGATTCAAATAACTGTAAATTTAGGAGTCTTAATTGCAAATGAGACAATTAAATTTCAAATGTAGCTTTTAATTTACGGCTAGGATTTCTGTTTACAACTAGCTGAATCGATATTTGCAACTCATTTTTAGAAAATTTAATTTGTTGGGAACCTAACTGTGATTCCCCCTCAATTAATTGTGATTTTCATTCGAACGACTATTATTTCTAACTTGGTCTGCAAAATTTGTAGGCATGAAGCAGAAATCGTAGAAAATATTGCTAAAACTATATGGACCAAATTGCCTGTTAAATTGCCATCTAATTTTGCTCATTTAGAAGGACCACCCAAAGGTATGGGGTATGGGTGGAATAGGCAAGACAACTCTTGCTGGAGTTGTCTATGAGTCAATTCAAAAAGAATTTGACACTAGATGCTTTCTTGCCAATGTAAGGGAGGCTTCAGAAAGTAATGGTTTGGTTTATTTGCAAAAGAAGCTTCTTTCTGGTCTTCAACTAGGAAACATTGAAATCAATGACGCCTACGATGGAGTTATGGCAATAGGAAGCTTTTCATGCAACTAAAAAATCCTTATTGTTCTCGATGATGCAAGTCATATAAGCCAACTACAGAATTTAGTTGGCGACAAAGAGTGGCTTGGGAATGGAAGCAGAATTTTAGTAACTACTAGAGATATACATTTGTTGACAACACATGATCAATTTGAGAAGTATGAAATGAAGATGCTAGCTAGGAAGAGGTGAATCTCTCAATCTCTTGTATGAGCACGCATTCAAAATGGAATATCCTCAACGAGGTTATTGGGAATTATCCAAAAAGGTGGTTGATTATGCAGGTCGTCTTCCTTTAGCTCTCCAAGTGTTGGGCTCATTCCTTCATAAAAGAAGTATATCTGAATGGAGAGACAAATTGAACAAGTTAAAGAAAAATTTACATAAAGATATTTTCAAGATGCTTCGAATAAGTTATGATGGGCTAGATGATGAAGAGTACAAAAGTCTTAGATATTTCATGCTTTTTTAAATTGGGAGAAAAAAGCTGAAGTGACTAAAATATTGGAAAATCGTGGTCTTCATCCAACAATTGAAATCCAAGTTCTGATTGAAAAATCATTGTTGAGTACTTACGTTTCATGGGATGGCCAAGAATATGTACATGTGCATGATATGCTCCAAGAGTTGGGAAAAAAATTGTTTTGCGAGAATGTCCAAGTGATGCTGGCAGAAGCAGTAGGTTGTGGTCTTGGGAGCAGATTGATCAAGTGTTTAGAGGAAATGCAGTAAGTTACTGATGTGTGCTAACACTCTTAATAATTTAACTAATTACATTATTTCCGAATGTATACTTGTATTCAATCTTAATTTCAAGACATCTCCGTTGATGTTTACCATGGAAGCAAAAAAGTACAAAGTATACTTTTGAATATAAAGCAATCATATGAAGCAAAATTGGCACCCGAATTGCTTCTGAAAGATGGGTAATCTTAGAATATTACTCTACTTGAGTAATGTGCATCTTTTGCACGGCCTCAATTCTCTTCCTACTACACTGAAAGATGTCATATGGGAGAAATATCCTTTGGAAGCTCTACCACGCAATATTGACCAGCTCTATCAGCTTGTGGAGCTTACCTTACATCGTAGCAGAATCAGGAAACTTTGGAATGGAAGACCGGTAATTGCCACCCACAATACTCTTTTTATGGTCAAAGAGTTACTTTAACTTGCCACTAAATTGTGGATGAGCCTGATATATATATTCTGTTTTTGTTGATCAGTTCTTAGGAATGCTGAAGTTCATGGACTTGAGTTTCTCCAAGGAGCTAATTGAGACTCCAGAATTTAAGGGAGTTCCAAACCTTGAAAGATTGTTTCTTGAGTATTGCACAAATCTAATTAAGGTAAATGAGACTCTTGGGCAACTCAAGAAGCTAGTTAAGTTGAGTTTGAGAACCTGCCATAATCTCACGACCCTCCCAAGGAAATTGGAACTGAACTCTCTGCAAGAGTTTTCTCTTTATGGATGCTCAAAACTTGAAAAGCTTCCTGAATTCGGAGAAAACATGAAATGTCTATCCATCTTTGATTTGAGCGGAACTAATATAAGAAAATTGCCCTCTTCCATTGTTCATCTGACAAATCTTAAGGAGCCAAACCTCCATGGATGCAACTGGCAAGCCTAGAATTCATGGAGTTTCTTTGGGTACTTCGGGGTCGGTTCCTGGGGAATCCAGTAGGATCCAAGGGATTAAAGTTGCCCAATTCTTTCACAGGCCTTTCTTCATTAAGAAAACTGGATTTAAGTTTTAGCAATCTGTACGATGGAGCAATCCCTAATGATTTAAGTGGCTTATCGTCGTTGATGGACTTTAATCTGAGTGGAAACAATTGTACTTCCCTGCCTATTGGCTGCATCTCCAATCTTGTCAACCTTGAACAATTTGACTTTAGTAATTGTGTTGAGCTTCAGTCGATTCCTCAGCTTCCACCTAATTTAATTAGAGTATATGCAGGCTGCTGTCCTTCCACTGAGCCGTTATTAGACATGCAACATCTCTTTGATTCACTACTTCTCTATAAGGTTTGTTTCACCATCTTTCTACCCTTATATCATATCCTCCTTACTTCATTTTTCGCCATTACTTTCTCGCAAAATCTCCCAATATGTGTTGAATTTATCAGTGTATTTAATTAGTTGACTTTTTTTTTTTGGTTACAGCGATGAAGTCTTCTCCAACATGAAGTCATTTTCCTGCACATTTCAGGAGATAAGATCCCAATTGCAGTGTTTAAAGAGCAAAAATTTCACATTGATCCTTTTGGAGCAAGTGTATCTATAAGAGCGAGCATTCCTAGTCTTGACTATGAGAATGAACTGTGGGGGATTGCTGTATGCATGGTGGTAAAAAGCAAGAGGGCTTTATATTACTGCTCAAGATCCTATTTTTCTTGGATATTCAGAGCTGTTGATGATGATGAAGATGAAAGCTTTGAGGAACCACCACATTCGTTTTATGTTGGAAAAGCATATTCGATCCCTCATCTTTACATAGCATTCTTTCCTTTGATCCATACTCACAAGTTTGGGCGACATCTAAGAGGTGAACCCCACCAACTTGAATTGCAAATTAGGGTTGAAAAAGAGTTTAGCATCAAGGATTGTGGTTGGCGTATTATGTGCAGCAAAGTTTTTCATGTGTGCAATACAAGCATTGCCACCCGTGGTGTTCATAATAACAACTCACAAGCAACAATGCTGCGATAGAACTTGAGGTGATTGGATTTGTTATTACCATTCATTTATTATTTCTCTATTTCATAATAGAATTCAATTAATTGGCCCAATTCAATCTGTCTATTGCTCAATTGATGTGGCTTGGTGACTTACAAACATTTCGGCCCAGAGATGTTATCCGTTGGATAATGGATAGTGCTGTGGAAACTAAACAATTTTTTCTTTTTTCTTTTTTGCCAACGGAAACTAAACATTTAAATATCAGTTTCTAAGTTTTTTTTAATTATTATTTGGATTTAGCTTTCGAAGTGAATGTGTTTCAGTGTTATGTTTTATTACTATCAAACAAATTAATACTACCTCCGGTCCTAATTATAAGACCCAGTTGACCTATTTGAGGAGATTAAGGAAGTAAGTTAAGTTAGTTATTTGTAATAAATAAGTGTTGTCATTCCTAAAATATTCTTGCTAATTAAGTGTATTGGCTAGAACTATCATTATTAGAAGGACTATCTTGAAAAAAATACATAAATATGAGAGAAAAAATGGATTGGGGTCTTATAATTAGGACAAAAAAAAAGTCAAACAGGGTCTTATATTAAGGACCGGAGGTAGTAAGAGCTAACCTCTTGAAAGGAATTCAAATGTGGGCTTACTTCGGTATGAGGAATTAATCTCTTTTACCAGATTCAATCCCTCCTTGGTATGTGGTCCGTCACTTGAAACAACAGTCACTTGAGGCCCACATGAAAAAAGGCCCAACAATCATTTTGGACTAATATGCTGTAAGAGGCCCAATCCAAAGTTGCCCTAAATTTCTGATACGAAACGCCAGGCCCAAATTAAAAAGACCCAGCAATCATGTTGGACTTGCGTTCTCCCTATGCGGCTTGCAAGCGGCCTAAAATCTCTGAGAATTTCTGGTGCTGCAATTTTTTGGGCCAAAAGCCCTGCAATCGTATCATTGATATTGTGCCAGGAAAGGAAAAAAAAAAAAGACTGGCAATATTAATGGGTTCCCAAAAAAGAAAACAATATAAATAAAAATAGATAAAATTTAGTACTCTTTCGGTTCTTAATATAGGATTTAATTGTTAAATTAGTTTTGGTCCTAAATATAAGACCTATTTCTCATATTTATCAATTTTTCTTAAATTACCCATATGATTACTCCCTCAACCATAATCAAGTAAGTGGGGAAGGGAGGATATTAAAGAAGATGATTATGATGTTTTAGAAAAAACATGTCATATTTTTTATAACTAACTAACTAACTTACCTAACTTTCTTAATATAATCAAATTAGTTAAATAAATCTTATATTAAGTATGGGAGGAGTACAACACAATAGCATATGCTAGTTAACGGTAACAAAATTCATAAAAAGAGTTATGCACCAATAAAAGGTTAATAAATAATTTTTTAAAAAAAGTCTATGCAGTTTTCTCTCGGTATTTCTCCTTACACTTCAGCTAAAGGGCACTTTAGGAAATCCAGATCCTAGTTTGCCTCATTTTCGGCCTTTCATCTTTTTGAAGTGATTGCGTAAAGAAATTTAAAGTTATATGATCACACAAATCATGAAACTCTTGCACACTAATAATATTGTCGAATGTGGCGGGCAGTTAAAACTAAAGTTGGACGCAAAATTATATTTGAGAGACTTGCAGTTAAAGAGGATTTGGTTCAGTCTGTATCTATGAAGATTGAAGATGAATAACCTCAAAATGCCATATCAATAACTCAAGTAACTTCAGTGTTTCTCTCATGATGGAAGAAGCAACACAAAAAGCAAGATAATAAAGAAATATTCGAACAAAGATATTAAACACACAATAGAACAAAACACAAACATATAGGAAGTAAAAATCATATTGAAAAATCAAATCCAACTACATAATAATAAATATCAAATTCTTATATTTTATAAAAAAAAAAGAAAGAGATAAAAAAAAAATGACCTTCTCCCCTCCCTGAACACTTCTTACTTTTTGCACATACTAGATCTGTTTGCTTCACACGTTTTAACTACTAAACTTCTCAATTTATCATTCGTAAATCATTCGAAGCAACTACAAAATATAGAGTAAACATATAAAAAATGAATTCTAATAAAATGTGCGCGTAATCACACGTCATAATCAAATTAATCTTCTTTGCGGGTTGGGTTGAACTTTGCTACAGTTCAGTTGGCCGATGATGTTCGGAGAGTGGTTGACGAAGAACGTGGTGGTGATCAGCCGTAGGTGGCGGCGGCGGCATCTGCTTTGGCATAGGAGGACATGGAGGCGGTGGTGGAGACGTAGGAGGACATGGCGGAGGAGGAGGAGGAGGAGGAGGACACGACGGGGATGATGGTGGAGGCGGCGGCTGCTGTGCATAACCACACAACCCAAAGACACACAAGTTGCCGAAGGAGCAAACGTTCCCACAGGAACCACAGTTGAAAGGATCGATGTTAGTGTTGGTACACAAACCTGCACAACATCGCATGTTAAAGAGACATCTCACGCCACAAAACCCACAATTGTTTCTGTCTGATGTTACATCCACACATCGATTTCTGCAGCACAGTCTCCTCCACGGAGGCAACTCTCCTCGGCTGCACATCAACGGTCTGTTCCAACACCCACTAATGCGTCTCCGGTATGCAACTTCTTCAACCACGGCGAGGATGAGGACGACGACGACGAAACAGGGTTTGTGACATTCTCGAAGGTTGCTTCTATTTTGATGGAAAGTAGCAGAAACAAAATTAACAATTTGGACTGTTGGAGAGCCATTTTGGGTGATGCACGAACGACGACGATGATGGCTGAGTTTGCAGAAAGCTTCGCTTTTTATGGAATAAAAAACAAAAGGCAATTTAAAGAATGACTGATATTCCTGAAAACATATTAATAATTAAGTTTTACTATATAGAAATATTTCATGGAAATATTTTTGTGGGCATGGTTTTTGATATATGAAGTAGTGTATAAGTAAAGGTTTAGATAATTTTAAAATAAGTAAAGGTGGTTTAATATCAATTTAAAATTAAAAAGTAAAATACCGATATAGTAATACATAATAATTACAAAAATAAAAAAAATCATAAATTTTCTCCAACAAAAAAAAACCAAATTAAACAACCTTAATATAGAACCCAATTTTGAATTGGTTTTGGTCCTAAATATAAGACCTATTTTTATATTTATCAATTTTCTCTAAATTACCCTTATGGATACTCTCTCAACCATAATCAAGTAGAAGATAGAGATGAATTATTAAGAAAGATGATTATGGTGTTTTAGGAAAAATGTGTTACTTTTTTTATAATTAACTAACTTACCTAACTTCTTTAATCTAATCAAATTAGTTAAATGAGTTTTATATTAAGGATTGGAGGAGTATGATTCTTTTTTTTTTTTTTGAAAAAAAATTAAAGATTAATATATACCTTCGCAAGCATTTGCGTGTACTCCATTGGTGTATGCTTTTGAAGCTGTGTGTGTGTGTGTTTTTTTTTTTTTTTTTTTGGGGTCTCGGTGATAAGCTCTCTCCATGTCTTTTGTACATTTTTTTCCTCCAAACAATCAAGGTCTTGTGACCCTTTGATTTTTTTTTTGGGACGAATTTGTTTTTAAGAAATGCTCTACGTCTATTAGTAAAACAATGAAGTCATTATAGTTTTGATTGAAAAGCATCTCTTATGAGATTACACAAGAAAAACAACTCAATTCCATTGACATACATATTAAATAATAGAGTCAAATTTACATAGTTACTAATGAAACTGCGTCAATTAAAAATTAAATGTAACAATTTTTTGTTTACGCATCAAATTTTATATTTACAAATCGAGTTATTGAACAAGTTAAACTCATACAAAGTTATTTTTTTGCCCCCCGAGATATTTAGTATTTTTTTCGTGAAACCTATGTGTAATTTTCAAAGTAAAGCCACTTGGTTGAAGAACTAACATGACGGACAAGAGAAAAACAGGGTTCATTCATTTTGAAAAAAAATTTGAAAAAAGAAAAAAAAATTATTGTCATGTGTCACGCCATGAATCATTGGATACATCTAATAATTAATAATTTTTTTTTGCCAACATCTAACGATTAATAATTAGCGAATGCACTTTGCAGTTAATTGGAAAAAAATTATTGCGAGGATCAGCTTGGACACAGGCAATGAAACGTGTTAAATAAGAGTTATCGTTAAAGTAGCCAACTCAAATTGATAATGGAAGTAATAATGAGAATTTTCAAGTAAGGCGGCAGATAGTATCTTTAATCTCACAAAAAAAAGCAGGAGTTACAATTAAAGTAAGCCAGGTTTAATTGAAACTGCTCCTAGGCTTTCGCTAAAAGGAAACAGGCATCAACGTGTATCAAACAGTGTAAGTGGAATTATGTATAGTCAAAAGTGGGTTGGCTTTCTTAAAAAACTTGGATTTCATCATCAACCCTTTTTAATTACTGTATTCAAATTCAATACATGAGGGAATCACGTTGGACAAATACCCATTCACATGAAAATGCCATAATCCTTTTGAAACAGAAAAAATTGACCAAGTTTTACAATAAGCGCAACCTCCCTTGAAATCTGCATTAACTATAATACTACTGCCTCAAGTCCTTAATATAAGAACTTTTGACTAGTTTAAGTAGATTAAGAAATTTATTAAATTAGTTATTTGTTACCCTTACTAATTACATGTATTAATTATAACTATCAGATAATGAAACATTTAACATATACAGTTACTATAAAGACTGCTTTAAAAAAATAGATAAATATAAAAGACAAAGTGAATTGAAATTTTATTTTTAGGATTAAATTGAATGTCAAAACTAGCTCTTATATGAAAAACTGAAAGTAGTAATAATTATAAAACTAGCATATTACTGTAATGGTATGATATGTCTGACTAGCACTAGTGGGATTTCAAGAAAAAATAACAAGTGGTTTCTTGTTTATCTCTGTTACAGAATAAGGAATGTGGGAATCTTGCTGATACTATTTCTGAATTCTGATATTAAATTGGGTTTGTTTGGTTGCTGAAAGAGATGAATACCCACATCACAGGAGTGCCTAACTTGTAGTTAAGTAAAGGTTAACAAGACTCAGTTTTTTGGCTCACCTAACATTTATAGTCACATTCTCCATACAACCTATTTTAAGTTGTGTACACTAAGTTAGTCTTACACTTTCTTTTTTGAGTATAGAGCTTCAACTCGCGAGGCAATCTGTCATAAACATCTTAATCAATAATCAGACTCGATTTGTGAAAATTTGATGACTGATTCATTCGTAATTCATAAATAAACAATCAATACATCAACAGAGCTTGATAGAATATCATTACAGGTATATTCAACAAGTGTGATTTCTTCTATTATTTTTAATTTAAACAAGCCAAGTTTATCCAGGGATTTATTAGTATTACTGTCACCCAATACCATACTGTACTTCTTAAAGGGTGAGAGAAAACAAGATAAAAAGACAGTTTAAAGAGCATAATCGTGCACATAATCATACGGCATTACCAAGGGCTCATAGCACCAGTTATTACACAATTATTCTTCAGAGACATTGATGCAGACAAGCACAAAGACAACAATGTCACTGATCACTAGACAGATACATTAGAACCCTTTCAAGTCCTTAATGCACACACATCACACTGCAATGCAAACTCAGTTTACAACGAATTAAGCGACACTAACATGCAGGAAGAGGGATACTGACTTAAAACAGAGAATAAAGTAGCTACTTTTACAACAGAATGACGAGGAATGTGTTCATTCAGAGCCTTGTTTACTGGAGTACAAGGCATTCTCGGGAAGTGGCCACCATAGACGGGTAGCAGGTTGAGTCTGCTGCTTCGACTTCCTTGGCAGATTGAGGATTGGCAGCCGGCTCAACAGAGGCATCAATGGCTTCAAAGATGAGTGCCATGACTTCTTCAAACCTCTCTTCCGAGAGGGAAACCTCTGCAAGAAGCCTCCAGGCCTTTGCTTCTTATGCCTCATCATATTCTGCCCATATGGATATCACTGTTTCGAACATTGCCTCCAATGACCCATGGTCGTACACGTGAGATCTTTCTTCTTTTTTAGGCCCATTTACTAGTCCAAAAATACAAGCTAGTATTTATGAACTCGTGTTTTCACTCTCTTGAATAACATGAAACCTGTTCTTTTTGACACACCCACATTATATCTTCAATAGGATTCACTTGGGTGTCGAGTAGCTCAGTACTCACTTCTCCAAGAGCTTGCTTCTCTGCATAGCACTGTTCATTTAGAAGAAAAAGTGTGAGTAATTGGTTATCAAAATATCAGTAATGCTGCTGATGAATGTGGTTCCAACGAAAATAAGCTGTAATGTTGATTTCTGCTTTTTCTATAATTAACTCCTCAAAAAAGGCTAAGACAAACATGTTATAGAAACAGTTTTACTTGTGGCAGGAGAAAGATTAGCCTTCCACAATCAGAAGTAAGGACATTGTAAGATTTGTTGTTCTCTTGAAGGTAGATGCATGTATTTGAAACAACATTTGAAAGATCTTCTAGAGTATCGCCGCCACCCTCAAAGACGAGGCCTTTGACTGGATACCACGAGAAAAACAGCAAGAGAGAGAAGAAGAGAAAAAATTTTAACGGGTTTATTTAAAAAAATTTAAAAGTTTTTAATTAAATTTTATTATTTATTTACTTTACATCTTTTTTTATTAAAATTTTAAAGCATCACTTTTCCAATTTTTTAAAATAAATTTGTTAAAATTTTTCTTCCCCTCTTTTTACTTCCATTTCCCTAAGACCAAGTGTTGAATTCATATGTATATTTTCTGTTATTTCATTTACCCTCTTTTTGCACCGTCCCAACCGACAGTGGTCCTTATGATTGGCCCATGCAATTAAGATTGCCACCGAAAGATCAGCCGCGCATATATGGCGGTGGTGGGATATCTATTCGGATTATAAAACAGGCCATAATGAATCTGCTCCTTGTCTTCCATAACCATTACTCTCTCCTGTTCTCCTATAATGACACTGATGGGCTCTAGAACTACTCGTCGATGGAATTACCATGTTTTCTTGAGTTTTAGAGGAGAGGACACTCGCAGAAACTTTACCGACCACTTGTACGCTGCGTTGCAGCGAAAAGGGATCGTCACTTTCAGGGACGACAAAAAACTCGAGAGGGGACAAGTTATTTCCAACGAACTCATGAAAGCTATTGAGGAATCTCTGTTTGCAATTGTCATTCTCTCCCAGGATTATGCTTCCTCCTCTTGGTGTTTGGATGAACTGCAAAAAATTGTTGAATCCAACCAAAACTTGACAGTTTTCCCAGTTTTTTTTGAAGTAGATCCGTCTGATGTACGCCAACAAAAAGGAATTATTGGGAAAGCTTTTGAGAAACATGAAGGAAAATTTCCAGATTGTAGGGTGACAGGATGGAGAAGAGCTTTAACACAAGTTGCGAACTTCGCTGGTTGGGATACTAGAAACAAGTAAGTTTTTTAAATTTTACTCTTGTACATCACACGCAATAATGCAACTTCATTAAGGCCACGTTCTGATAGCATTGCAATTCTTTAGCTATATACTGTCATGTTGTTTGAGTAATTTATCCTCTGGAAGGCCGTGGAGCCATGCTTAGGGGGGGGGGGGGGAAAAACCTTGTTTTCTTCATTTTAGATACCTTTTCACGGCTAATGCGAGTCATTCTATATCCGCATTAATTAACGGGAGAGCAACAGTTAGGTCCCAAAAGAGTAATAAATTAATCAAGGTAAGGTTCCCGACAATTTTTTTTTTTGGGGAAAAATGAGTTACAAATATGGAGTCTAATAACTGTTAATTTAGGAGTTTTAATTAGAAACAAGACATTTAAATTTCTCAGTCTACAACTGGGATTCTTAGTTACAGTTATCTGAATCGATATCTGCAACTCATTTTTCAGAAAATTTTGTTGAAGACCTAACTGTCATTTCCCGGTTAATTGTGATTTTCATTTAAACGACTATTATTTCTAATTTGGTCTTTGTAAATTTGTAGGCGTGAAGCAGAAATCGTAGAAAATATTGCTAAAACAATATGGACCAAAGTGCGTGTTAAATTGCCATCTAATTTCGCTCATTTAGTTGGACTTCAACCAAAGGTGGATACATTGATCCCTCTTTTGAAGATAGAGTTGAATCATACATGTTTTATAGGAATATGGGGTATGGGCGGAATAGGCAAGACAACTCTTGCTAGAGTTGTTTATGAGGCAATTCGCAACAAATTTGAAACTAGTTGCTTTCTTGCCAATGTAAGGGAGGAATCAGAGCGTAACGGTTTGGTTTACTTGCAAAAGAAGCTTCTTTCTAGTCTTCTACTAGGAAACATTGAAATCAATGACTCCTATGACGGAGTTGAGGCAATAAGAAACTTCTCATGCAATAAAAAAGTTCTTATTGTTCTCGATGACGTAAGTCATATAAGCCAACTACAGAGTTTAGTTGGAGATAAAGATTGGTTTGGACATGGAAGCAAAATTTTAGTAACTACAAGAGACATACACTTGTTGACAGCACATGATCAGTTTGAGAAGTATGAAATGATGATGCTTGGAAGAGATGAATCTCTCAATCTCTTGTGTAGGCATGCATTTAAAAGGAATTATCCTCAACAGGGTTATTTTGAATTGTCCAAAAAGGTGGTTGATTATGCAGGTGGTCTTCCTTTAGCTCTCCAAGTGTTGGGCTCATTTCTTTGTAAAAGAAGTATACCTGAATGGAGAGACACATTGAATAAGTTAAAGCAAAATTTACATAAAGATATTTTCAAGATACTTAGAATAAGTTATGATGGGCTAGATGATGAAGAGTTCAAAGCAATATTCTTAGACATTGCATGCTTTTTTAATAGGGAGGAAAAAGTTGAAGTGACTAAATATTGGAAAATTGTGGTCTTCATCCAATAATTGGAATCCAAGTTCTAATTGAAAAGTCTTTGTTGAGTACTTACATTTCATGGGATGGCCAAGAATATGTTCATATGCATGATTTGCTTCAATACATGGGGAAAAACATTGTTTTGCAAGAATCTCCAAGTGATGCTGGCGGACGCAGTAGGTTGTGGTCTTGGGTTCAGATTGATCAAGTGCTTAGAATAAATGCAGTAAGTTATTGATTTTTACGTGTGCTAAAACTTTTAATAAACTAATTACATTATTTCCAAATGTATGCTTATATTCAATCTTGATTTCATGTTTATCGGCCAGGGAAGCAAAAATGTTCAAAGCATAGTTTTGAATCTAAAGCAACCATATGAAACAAAATGGCACCCGGATTGCTTCTCAAAGATGGCTAATCTTACATTACTCTACTTGAGTAATGTGCATCTTTTGCATGGTCTCAATTTTCTTCCTACTGCATTGAAAGTTCTCAAATGGGAGAAATATCCTTTGGAAGCTTTACCACGCAATATTGACCAGCTATATCAGCTTGTGGAGCTTACCTTACGTCGTAGCAGAATCAGAAAAGTCTGGAATGGAAGACCGGTAATTTCCATCCACACTCTTTTATGTTTAGTTACTTTAATTTACCACTAAATTTTGGATGAAACTGATATATATATATATATTCTCTTTCTGTTGATCAGGATTTAGGAATGTTGAGATTCATGGACTTGAGTTTCTCCCAGGAGCTAATTGAGACTCCAGATTTCAAGGGAGTTCCAAACCTTGAAAGATTGTTGCTTGAGCATTGCATAAATCTAGTTAAGGTTAATGAGTCTCTTGGGAAACTCAAGAAGCTAGTTAAGATGAGTTTGAGAGGCTGCAAAAATCTCAGGACCCTTCCATGGAAATTGGAACTGAATTCTCTGCAGGAATTTTCTCTTTGCGAATGCTCAAAACTTGAAAATCTTCCTGAATTCGGAGAAAACATGAAATGTCTATCCATCTTGAATCTGAGTGGAACTAGTATAAGAGAAGTACCCTCTTCCATTGTTCATTTGACAAATCTTAAGGAGCTAGATCTCCATGGATGCAACAGGCAAGCTTGGCATTCATGGAGCTTCTTTGGCTACTTTGGTCATTTAATAGGTCAGTTTATCGGGAATCCAGTAGGATCCAAGGGATTAAAGTTGCCCAATTCTTTCACTTTCTTCGTTAAGAAAATTGCATTTAAGTTTTTGCAATCTGTGCGATGGAGCAATCCCTAATGATTTAAGTGGCTTATCATCATTGATTGATTTTAGTCTGAGGGGAAACAATTTTACTTCCCTACCTGTTGGCTGCGTCTCCAATCTTCTCTCCCTTGAACAATTTGACTTGAGTAATTGTGTTGAGCTTCATTCAATTCCTCAGCTTCCGCCTAATTTAATCAGACTATATGCAGGCTGCTGTCCTTCTATTGAACCGTTATTGGACATGCAACATCTCTTCGAATCATTACTTGTCTATAAGGTTTGTCACCATCTTTCTATCTTTACGCACACACATGTCAGATTTAAATCTCATACAATGATTGGAGGGGCAATGAAGAAGTATGAAAAAGAGACAAGTGTGAGACGTATCCATCTGGACAAGTTCTATCTTCTCTCTCATTCTCTTCTTCTTTGAATCTGATATAGGAGCAAGATGACTAATTTGTTTAAGTTAAGGAAATTTGTTGAGGTAGCTGTTTGTATAATTAATAGAAAAAATTTAGAAAAAGAATTATAAAATTGGGAGACAAAATGGATTTAGATTTTATATTTAGGACCAAGCTAACCTTTATACTAGCTCTTATAGTTAGGATCAAAAGAAGTATATTTGGAGGAATAACCGTTATACTAGCTCTTATAGTTATGATTGAAAGAAGTATTTTAGAGGAATAAAGTTAGGAAAAGATAGGAGAGCGATGAATCCCATGTTGCATATGTCGTGACCATAAGGGCTGGACTCACACCTCTCTTTTCTGTCTCACCCTAATTTCACCATAAAGCATATTTCAGAGCGGTTCAGGTGATCCCAAATCAAATTATCGTCCTACGCAAAATAGATCTCCTTTGTATGCATATGGATTCAACAAGAGTAAAAGATTAGGAGAGAAAACTGATCACTTCAAAAAATCATTTTTACTTCAGTCAGTTTTCGGCATCTGTTTTTTTGCAATATCTTATTATACATGTTTTGAATTTATCAATATATTTAATAGTTGACTTTTTCTTTGTCACAGCCATGTAGTGTTCTCCAACGTGAAGTCATTTTCCTGCATATTTCAGGAGATAAGATCCCGACTGTAGCTTTCAAAGAGCAAAAATTTCACATTGACCCCTTTGGAGGCAGCGTATCTATGATAATAGGGGGCGTCCCTAATTTTCGCTATGACAGTGAATTGTGGGGAATTGCTGTATGCATGGTGGTAAAAAGCAGGGGGGAGGCTTTATATTACTTCTCAAGATCCCATTTTTATTGGAGATTCAGAGTTCTTGGTGGACTTGAAAGCTTTGAAGAACATGTATTTTATGTTGGAAACGCATATTCAATCCCTCATCTCTACATAGCCTTTTTTCCTTTGATCAATGCTCACAGGTTTTGCCGACATCAAAGAGGTAAATCCCACCAAGTCGTATTGGAAATTAGGGTTCAAGGAGAGTTTAGGATCAAGGATTGTGGTTGGCGTCTTATGTGCAAGAAAGATTTTGATGCGTTCACTACAAGAACTTGAGGTAAGGGTTCATTTTCGATTTGATTTGTGGTTACCGTGCATTAATTTCTCTATTTGATGTTAGGAATTAATTAGTTAGTCTAATTGATTCTATATATTGTTGAACTGATGTGGCTTGATAATTCCTTGTGCAGATATGGGGCAAGAGATGTTATCCGTTGGAAAGTGCTATGGAAACTAATTTTAAATCAGTTTCTAAATGTTTTTTTAGTGTTAATTTTGGTTAAAAGTAGTCAATATCTCGAGCTTTGTTTTATATGGTGTTTGAAGGATGTCATTTCATTCCAATGGAAGCCTGAAAGGCGGTGGTCCTCCCATTTAGAGAGAGCATTTATGCCATTAAATTTTGGGAAAATGACACTAAGGTCCCACACAAGGAAATATACTACAAAACAGTCCCTTGAAATATGATAATGAATCACAAGTCCCATAGGGACTTAACTGCAATAATAAGAATGTTAAAAAGGCATTATTACCCAGCAGTGTAGGAGGAAAGGACGCTCATTTTCTGCACGATTTGAAGTTGCTGCTAATGGGAGAGAAGAGCTGGAGAAAGAAGGAAATAGCTATTGATAAAGCATCTTTCTCATCACTATTAGTGAACTCCAAAGAGTTTCCATTTCACTCTCTCCAAACTTTCAGGTTTTGAAACTTTCTTTCCCTCTTCTTCTCTGCATTTTGCATGACAGATTGTGTTTGGGTATTGGAATTTAGAAATTCATTTTTGTCTTTAGGTATTGCAAAGCTTTGTTTTTTGTCTAATATGAACAAGATACTCAATAAAAAAAAATTGTGCTTTTGTTTGGTATGGGTTGGTGATTTAAGTTGGGGTTTTATTGTGGGTGAGTAGAATGATAATGGGTGCTCTGTTTTTTGTTACATTATGGGTGGTTTTACTTTGTTTTAGCATGGTTTAGTGTGAAAGGTTGAAGAACATGAAGGTTGGTGTGGGTGAAAACCTTTCCTGCGAAATAGGATATTATGTTGCCAATATAAGCTGTGAAAGTTGTCAATGGATGTCGCGACAGTTGTCAATTGTCCTGCTTCACTTGTCAATAACAGCTGGATGATTGTTGATGCAGGTTTACATTAATGACGGCCAATATGTCTGGGAAGCATCACTTCGTCAAACCATGCAAGAATCCAAATACCAACTGAGAATGTATTGAAATCAATTATTTTTTGCATATAGATGTGAAAGGAATATTTTGTAAATGAGTGTGAAGGGATTTTTTTGTAAATGGATACACACCAACAATTAGTTTGGTAATTACATGCAACCCTATGTTTTTTTTAATAGGTTGTGAAATATATGTAATTCCATGTATATAAAGATGTAAATAAAAGTTGGCTATAAATTGATATGTTAGATTCTACTATCATTTGAGTTGTAATTATTGTACCTTACATTATCAATAGACCTGTTTTGACTTGTCACTGATTGCAGTATGACTCGTCAATTAATCTGTTGATGTGAGTTATCTAAAATATGAATTCAAGTTACATAATATTGACATATCATATGATATTTTCAATTACCTTGACATATTACGTTTTGGTTATAATGTTGTATATAATTATTATTAAAAGCTTATTATTACTGATATAAAATTTATAAAATGAATTATCAATAACTACATCATCACTTGTCAATGTGGCACTGTGACTTGTCAACGGTGGAATCAAGAACATAGAATTTCATCCAAGCATCACAGCGGATTTATCCAGGCATCACAGCGCCTATTACAGAATGCCTCTCTGTCCTTTTTGCTTCAAAGGTCATGGTGGATTGCTCTAGGCATCGCGGTGAATTAAGGATTATTAGACTTGTCAACAAATGCACTATGACTTGTCAAATTTTGAAAAATTGTCATCCAATTAACATACCTTCTTATTGATATTTATATTGTAGGTTACATATAACTTACTTGAATATTTTAAATAAACAACACCTTCAATTTTGAAAATTTCCACATCATTACAAAAAAAAAAGATTAGTTTTAAGGAATTGGTGATATTGTATAATTTTGTATAGCATTATGTAATGTAAAGTCATATTTTTTTTGAAATTTATATTAGTATGTAAATTAACAACTGATAGTGCAATGAGTAACAAGTGATGAAGGGTATATTGATAATGAAAGGTGCAGAGAATGACAACTAATTATGTATCAAAATGTAATATAGAACCAACTTTCATTTACAACTGTATACACATATAATTACATTGATTTCACAACACATTAAAAAAAAATACAACTGCATATATCTAATATCAAACTAATTATTTGTATGCATTGTGATATTTACAAAAAAAAAGTCACTTTTATTTACAAAAAATTCTTTTGCCATCATTTATCTAGGTTTAAAGTAGCTTTTCTTTTTATCATGTTTCTTCTTTTGCTTCATGTGGTGCCCACCCTTCTTCGTTGCCTCTTCTTTCCCTTTTTATAACCTCTACCAATGAGTTAAGGGCATAGAAGGTTATGAATTTTGTGTCAAGAATTTAACAATGTCATTTAATGTAAATATGCACAACACAGGTATCATTGACAAGTTAAAGAGCTATATTGACAATTATCGTAGCCCATATTGACAACATATTTTCCTGTTTCATAGTAAGAATTTTTAGCCACATCAACCTTTGTCTTCCTCATCAATTCCCACCAAACCATGCCTAGATAGAGCAAGCTCACCTTCAATCCCCCACAATGTACCCAAAAACAGAATATCCATCGTCACCCTACCCACTTATAATAAAACCCTAACTTAAATGACCAAGCACACACCAAACCAAAGACACAAGAGAATTTTGCTAATGGCTGACATGGGTGGAGTGGATGAGATTTTCAAATGGGAATAGGGAAAAAACAGAATGAAGTTTGGGTTTTTTTCTTTTTTACTTTCAGCGTATAGAGTGGTGACTCTTAGACTGAAAAATAGGACAACTTTCATTTACTTTGGGTGCATCTCACTAGGGACATAGAAGTCTTTTTACACTTTACTAAATTGCACTCCAGTCCCTTTGAGACTTTAGATTCATTACCAAGTTTTCTGGATGAAATTCTATGCTGTTGATTCTCTCATTGACAAGTCACAGTGCTACCATCGACAAGTCACAGTGCCATCGTCAACAAGTCACATTGCCATTGTTGACAAGTGATGAGATAATTATTGATAGTTCATTTTATAATTCTATATCAATAATAATAGGCTTTTAATAATGATTATATATGACATTATAACCAAAACGTAATATGTCAAGGTAATTGAAAATATCATATGATATATCAATATTATGTAACTTGAATTTATATTTTAGATAACTCACATCAGCAGATTAATTGACAAGTCATACTGCAATTAGTGACAAGTCAAAAGAGGTCTATTGACAATGCAAGGTGCAAAATTACAACTCAAATGACAGTAGAATCTAACATATAAGTTTATAGCCAACTTTCATTTACATCTTTATATACATGGAATTACGCATATTTCACAACCCATTTGAAAAAACATAGGGTTGCATGTAATTACTAAACTAATTGTTGGTGTGTATCTATTTACAAAAAAATTTCTTCACACTTATTTATAAAATATTCCTTTCACATCCATATACAAAAAATAACTGATTTCAATACATTCTTAGTTAGTATTTGGGTTCTTGCATGGTTTGACGGTGTGATGCTTCCCAGACATACTGGCTGTCATTAATGTAAACCTGCATCAACAATCATCCAGCTGTTATTGACAAGTGAAGCAGCACAATTGACAACTGTCGCGGCATCCATTGACAACTTTGACAACTTATATTGACAACATAATATCTCATTTCGCAGGAAAGGTTTTCACCCACACCAACCTTCATGTTCTTCAACCTTTCACACTAAACCATGCTAAAACAGAGCAAAACCACTCATAATGTAACAAAAAACAGAGCACCCATCATTATTCTACCCACCCACAATGAAACCCCAACTTAAATCACCAACTCACACCAAACAAAAGCACAACTTTTTTTATTGAGTATCTTGTTCATGTTAGACAAAAAACAAAAGCTTTGCAATACCTAAAGGCAAAAACGAATTTCTAAATTCCAATATCCAAGCACAATCTGTCAAGCAAAATGTAGAGAAGAGGAGGGGAAGAAAGTTTCAAAACCTGAAAGTTTGGAGAGATTGAAATGGAAACTCTTTGGAGTTCACTAATAGTGATGAGAAAGATGCTTTATCAATGGGGTGTAAGTTTTTTTAGACCAGCAAATAGGGTGTAAGTTAAGGTTTAGAATAATGTAATAACAAAATAAATAAAGGTAGTCTAATATCAATTTGAAAATTAAAAACTAAAATATGGATATAGTAACACATGATAATTACAAAAATTTAACAAAAATGATAACTTTTGTCCAAGATTATTCGTTGTTTTTAAAATATTAATGTATACCTTCGCACGCATTTGTGTGTACTCCATTGGCAAATGCTTTTGAAGCTCTGTGTGTGTGTTTTTTTTTTTTTTTTTTTGGGTCTCGGTGACAAGTTCTCTCTGTGTCTTTTACACTTTTTTTTAAACAATCAAGGTCTTTGACCTTTTTTTTGGGTGACGAATTTGCTTTTCAAAATTGCTCAATGTCTATTATTAAAACAATGAAGTCATTATAGTTTTGGTTGAAAAACATCTCTTATGATTACACAAGAAAAACAACTAAATTTCATCGGCATATATATTTCTACATATTTACAAATGAAACTGCGTCAATTACAAATTAAATGTAACAATTTTTTGTTTACACATCAAATTTTTATATTGACACCGTGAAACCTATGTGTAATTCTCAAAGTAAAACCACTTGGTTGAAGAGAGAACATGACGGACAAGAGAAAAACAGTGTTCGTTCATTTTTGCAAAGCAAATTTGAAACGTGTTAAATAAGAATTATCGTTAAAGAAAGCAACCTAAGTTGATGATGGGAGTAATAATAAGAATTTTCAATTTTTAGGCAAGTCGGCAGATAATACCTTTAATGTCAACCAAAAAAGAGTTACAATTAAAGTCAGCCAAGTTCAATTGAAACTGCTCCGAGGCTTTCGCTAAAAAGAAACAAGCATCAACGTGTATCAAACAGTGCATGTGGAATTATATATAATCAAAAGTGGGTTGGCTTTCTTGAAAAACTTGGATTTCATCACGCTCATTATCATCATCAACCCTTTTTAATTACCATATTCAAATTCAATTCATGAGGGAATCACGTTGGACTGGTACCCGTTCACATGAAAATGCCATAATCCTTTTGAAACAGAAAAACTTGACTTAAGTTTTACAATAAACGCAACGTCCTCTTTTAAGCAAGCCTTGAAATTAACTATGATATTACTACCTCCGGTTCTTAATATAAGAATTAGTTGACTAATTTGAGTAGATTAAAAATTCTATTAAATTAGTTATTTGTAATAAATATATGTTGTCTTTTTTATAATATGAAAAACAAAGTGGATTAGAATTTTATATTTAGAACAAGATTGAATGTCAAACTAACTCTTATATTAAGGATCAAAAGTAGTAATAATTATAAAACCAGCAGGTTACTGTAATGGTATGAACTGTCTGTCTCGTACTGGTGGGATTTCAAGAAAAAATAAGTAGTTTCTTGTCTGACTCTGCTACAGAACAAGGAATATGGGAATCTTGCTGATGCTAGTTCTGAGTTCCGATATTAAATTGGGTTTGTTTGGTTGCTGAAAGAGATGAATACCCACATCACAGGAGTGCCTAACTTGTGGTTAAATAAAGGTTAACAAGACTCAGTTTTTGGCTCACCTAACATTTATAGCCACATTCTCCAGACAACCAATTTTAAGTTGTGAATATTAAATTAGTATTACACATTCTTTTCAAGTGTAGAGCTTCAACTCGCGAGGCAATGTCATAAAAACATCTTAACCAATAATCAGACTTGATTTGTGAAAAATTAGATGACTGATTCACTCATAATTCATAAATAAACAATCAATACATCAACAGAGCTTGATCGAGTATCATTCCAGGTATATTCTTCAAATATGATTTCTTCTATTATTTTTAATTTCAATAAGCCAAGTTTATCCAAGGATTTATTAGTATTACTGTAATCTAATACTGTACTGTACTTCTCCAAGGGTGAGAGGAAACAAGAGATAAGAAGACAGTTTAAAGAGCATAATCATACACATAATCATATAACATTACCAAGGGCTTATAGCACCAGTTATTACACAATTATTCTTCAGAGACATTGAAGCAGACAAGCACAACACAACAATGTCACTGATCACCAGACAGATACATTAGAACCCTTTCAAGTCCTTAATGCACACACGTCACACCACAACGCAAACGCAGTTTACAACTAATTAAGCGACACTAACATGCAGGAAGAGGGTACTGACTTAAAACAGAGACATAAAGTAGCTACTTTTACAACAGAATCACTAGGAATGTGTTCATTCAGAGCCTTGTTTACTGGAGTACAAGGCATTCTTGGGAACTGGCCACCATAGACGGGTAGCAGGTTGAGTCTGCTGCCTCGACTTCCTTGGCAGATTGAGGATCGGCAGCCGGCTCAACAGAGGCATCCATGGCTTCAAAGATGAGTGCCATGACTTCTTCAAACCTCTCTTCTGAGAGGGAGACCTCTGCAAGAAGCCTCCAGGCCTTTGCTTCTGACGCCTCATTATAGTCTGTCTTCCTCTTCAACACCATGTGACCACTAATTTCCCATACGGCCGGATTCACTTGGGTGTCGAGTAGCTCTGCACTCACTTCTCCAAGAGCTTGCTTCTCTGCATAGCACTGTTCATTTAGAAGAAAAATTGTGAGTAATTGGCTATCAAAATATCAGTGATGCAGCTGATGAATGTGGTTCCAACCAAAATAAGCGTTTGCGGGGCCGTAATATTGATTTCTGCTTTTTCTATAAGTAACTTCTCAAAAAAGAATTTCAATTCCAATGCCAAGACAAACATATTACAGAAACAGTTTCACCTGTGGCAGGAGAAAGATTAGCCTTCCACAATCAGAAATAAGAACATTGTAAGGTATGTTGTTCCCTTGAAGGCAGATGCATGCATCTGAAACAGCATTTGAAAGATCTTCTAGAGTATCGCCACCCTCAAAGACGAGGCCTCTGACTGGATACTCTAGCAATCCAGATATCTTGACCCCGCCATTTAAAGTGGCTATTTTCTTAGTGGGAGCCTTCTCAATGGGAAAGGGCATAGCCAAATAGTACGCCTGAATATGTCCAAACCACCAAAATTGCAATTTGATTAAAGACAAAACACTCAATAAGGAATGCAATAATTTACATGAACGTTGAAGTGGTTATGTCAAATTCTTCAGCAACCAGTACCTGGAAATGAAGGTGGTTAATAGTTGCAAATGCACCCAAGCTGTTGTAACCCAAACGGAAATATGGATTCCCAGCTTCTACTGCCATGTGAAGTGCAAGCAAGAAGCTTTTCCGATCAATCCTTTGAGGCAAACACTCAAAAATTCGAGGAATCAGCAGCACATGTCCATACTCAATGGGACTGACCTGTTAAGAGAGGAATGAATTAACAAGTAGAATCCTATGAGATGTTTACTCAACTTAACCACCAAGAACAAGAATATGAAACAATAGCTAAGAAGCATACGTTGATGGCGACAAGACTAGGAGAATTCTCAACGTCAATTGGTGCATTAGGAAAGAACTGAACTTCACCATCATCACTGGCCTCAAATTGAAACAGAATCTCTTCCTGCCCAACTTTAGTGAAATTGAACTTATTTCCGTCAAAAGGCTGGAGCACCTTGTCGACTCTGAACTCAGTTGGTCGCTTCTTAAGGTGACGACCCTCATTCAGCTGGGCAATGAAGCCATATTCACCCGGAATCACCTATCCGAAAATTATCACTTTAGCATGAATTCAAGTCCTATATATTCATCTATACAAAAACAAGTAGAGGTTACACAATCAGACCTTGGTTTCACAAGCAGTAACGTCATAGCGAAAGAGCCCTTTCTGTAAGCGATCTTCCCACTACCATGAAATGGTAAAAAAAACTTCACACAACATGATAATACAGGTAGTGAAAAGGAACAAAATATGGTAATTGATCTCCAATTCTTCGTCATCAACATTTACAGTTACCTCTCCTAGAATGAGCGAGTCAAGAAAAGCCACAGGGGGCTCCCTGCATTCAAGTTCAGACAAGTCCTTTCCGTTAAACTCGTGAAGCCTTTTGAATGCATACAAAGGAAGTCTGGCCTCTGTTCAAAAAAAGCACCTCAAATGAGCCAAAAAAAAAAAAACCATTTTAAACAGCATGCATGATCATCGGTAGGCTCAAATTTAACTCACAGGCTCTAAATACAGAGAATTTCGACACATACCTTGAATGCAACATTCTTTGAGGCAATTACGGCCGCAACCCCCTGTACGGCGAGCAGCCTCTCCTGCCTCCTCTTTCTGATAATTTGAAACTACGGTGGGAACTCTCTTAATTCTCAACATCTTTTGTCCTTTTTTTCAGTCAAATTTGAAACTAAACCAAACCAAACTTGACGATAACCAGAAGCCTTCAAGGAGATCTTATTGCTTTCACTAATTTACCTTAGGAATATTAAGTTCTACTAAGACTTAAAACTAATTATACTACTACTGATGAAGAGAAGGAGAAAGCACCACCGCCAGCGAGGAAGAGGAGGTCAGAAGGGCTACCGCCTTCGGAAGGCAATGCACCGCGCCCGCCGTGCGGCGAAGGGTTGGTCACGATTACGCAACCCTTCCGTCGTACAGAACGGACATGAATGAGAAGCCGAGAACCTCTGGGAATAGCCGTGATGTCTACAACGCGTCAACACCGGGTTTTATCCCCACTGAATAATACCTCTCGATATCTCTCCTTTTCCGATGAACCACCGAGAAACCAAACACAACGCAAGGTGAGAATTTCTCAGGCGACACGAATCCTCCCTATCCGGGTCTAAGAAGCAGAACCCAGATGGGAAATCGAAGCGAGAGAAGGTGGGAAGATGCAGGGCCAGTGAAAGAGCTATATGGTTAGGATTGATGGTGCTGGAGGTTGAGACCGTGAGAGAAAGAGGAGGAGGGAGGTTGGTTTTATAGGCAGAAGAGAAAGGCGGGATTGTAGATGTGGTTGTGGTTGTGCCTCGAAAGCAAAATCGGCTAGGCTCGGCTCGGGTTGGGTTAGGCGTGAAGCAAAACTGTTGGCTTTCAAGATTCAACTGTCAACAGTCAACTTTCGAGGTCACCGGGGTTTGGTGGGTTCGGATTCCTCGTGACCGGACGCCCAGTGGCTCCAATCGGTCGCCGGAAGGTGGACCACAGGAACGTACAGTTTGGGGATGGATGCTTTGTCAGAGCGAACCCGGCCTCCGGGATGAAATCAACGTCGAATAAAATACTATAATTATTTTATTTTAATTTTTAAATTATAAAATATTATTCACTAATTTCCTTAAACTAATTTTACATTTCATCTATACTTTTCATTAATTAAATAATTTTTACTAGTAAAATATTTCCTTTGAATTCATTAGTGAAAAGGAAATATTTGTAAATTTTTCTAATATTATTTCTCGGTTGATAATTATAAAAATTTTTAAAAAACCGTAAAAATCATTAAAACTGGTTATTTTTCAAAAGCATTTAAGTCCTTCTAAATATATTTTTCAATTTCGAGATAAACACATTTTTTTACCCGAAATAAACACATAGATACCATCCTATTAATATTTCACAAAATAACTCATAAATCATAATTTTTTAAAAATATTTATAGCAGATTTATATTTATTCATAAAAAATTGTGCCAAGATTTGCTTGTAATAAAGGATAAATATGGAACTTCGTCAATAATCTTTTTTTTTAAGTACACCTAACATCTCAATTTTGTTAATAGTGTAATTTTATTCATAATTTTTTAATGAAATTTTACTGATAATCTTTGTATTTTAATGCAATCTTACTCATTATTATATAGATAAACACATGATTGTATTAAAATAAAATAATTATGGATAAAAGCACGCGCAAAAAATGATGAGCGAAATTATACCTCTAGAAAAAGGTGTTAATTAAATAGCACCTGAAATCTGTGTCAAAATTGCGTATTTATCCGATAATAAATTTCGTGGTGATGCCATCACTCCCGTCCGCCAAGCATTTTAATATATTAAATTGGTCAGCATCGACGTGAGATAAACAAAAAGGTAAATATCCCAAATGGATTCGAATCTATCTACAGGTTTCTTTCTCAGAGATTGCCTTTCACGTTCCTGGAATTTTTTAAATTTTTGTACAGATACGTGGAATTTTGGCTACAAAAGACATAAACTCGTATTTCCTTCAATAAATTTGAGGAAGATGCCTCTTTTGTCGGACCTTTTTGGGGAGAGTGACGCACAGTAAACATTTTAAGAAAAAAAATTGACATTGAAATGTAAAACAGATAACATGAGTTGGATACTTGGATATGTGTGTCAAACCCGTCAACCGATCAACAATAGTGAGTTAGGGTTGGTTATAAATCCACCAGCAAATAAAACTTTTTAATCATTAGTGTCGTGTGTTGGCCTGCAGGCTAACCCACATTTACTTATTTTATTTCTCCAATTTTATTAATTATTATAATTATATTTTATATCCTATTTTAAAAAATAAAAAAATCTATATCATTTATTTGATGTTTTTAATCAAGTATTTGAAGGAAAAATAAAAATTTCATTATATTTTATTTATTTTATATAAAAAATACTTAAAATGAAAAAAATTTATAAAGGAAATAATTGTTAGCTGGCCAACTCATTAACCTACTATGACAGGTTAAGGTTAATTAAAAGACAACTTGTTATTACATGGGACATTTTTAACCAGTATCACCTAATTTAAATCGTCAAAAACCCACAGGTTAGTCTATATTATCACTCTAATAAAATGTCATGAACTTGTGAAATGATAGGGTCCTAAGTATGATGGAAGTTAAAAGTTAAATAGTCAAAAGAATGAAATCTTTTATAAATTTAGAGGGTGTTTAGATAGAATCAAAACCATAACTTTAAAAGTGCTTTTACAATGCACGAAGTAAATATTTAAAGGGGATTGTCTCATTTTGTGAAAAAATACTTCTAAGAAGTACTTTTGGGTGCTTCCAAACATCCCCTTAATTGTAAATCTCCGATAGCTTGTATGCAAAAAATCAAAAGTTCAAATTGACACAAATGAATTGTAAATTGTGAAGGTCATGTAAACCTTAAAAGTTTAGCTTTAAATTCTAACAAATTTAGTTGTTAAAAAATTATTATGAATTGATTAACTTCTTAAGTATCTAAAATCGGTTTTTAGTCATTTCCAACAGCATAATTACTACATATAAAATCCATTCACTTCACTATTGCTTTGGAACAGTGTACAAGTTTTCACGTTTTTATATTTAAATATTATTCTAGTTGATTCTTTTTATAAGAGTTTAATAACTAAATTACGTGATTTAAGAAAATAATCAATATGAGTTAAAAGTAATAAATGTGTAAGAAATAAACTTTTTTTCCAACTATGTTGTTATTTATAAGGGGCAAGTAAGCAAAAGAATATGGTAAACATTTAAATTCATCCAATATATAAAATGAATTAGAGAGAAATATGATGAAAACAAATTAAATGTTTATTAGGCTTTTATTAACCAATAAAAAAATCCATGTACTTTTAAGTTTAAAAATATAGTATATGCTGGCGAACGTTTTGCATAAGGAAACACCGGCCACATGAAATTTCTGAACGGCAGCCAAAATATCTGGTACAGGTTAGACTCGACCCGAAGAGGGGCCCACGACACCGTCTCGTAGTCCTCCTCCTCGTCGTTTTCCCGTGATGAGTGGTGGACCACAAAACCGTAAAGCGGAATCTCCCACATGATGGGGGTCCCGCCAAAGCACGTGGAAGTTCCTTATTCATTCAATTCCATTTCTCTTTCTTGCCCTTTTAACCTCTGGACGACAACAGTCTGAGGCTGCGTTTTCTTATCCAAGTGTCGTTTTGGACTCAAGTGGACGACCCTGTTTGGCGGGCGGGGCCTCCAAGCCTCCCATTAAGAAACCCAAAACGTTGCACCGGACCACCAGTTAACAAGATTCCGAATCTGAGGAGGAGTCATTCCTAAAATGTGCCCCCCCCTTTTTGTCGTATCATATTGAGAGGTAAATTTTGTTTTCCAATTAAATTTCCCTTAATTTCCATATAAATACGCGAGAATTCAAAGAAAATAGCTAAATATTTATGTCAATAAACAATAAATTGATTATACTTCTTATCATGCTTTTATATATGGGGTTAATTTTATGTTTTATATTTTGTTATTAATAGAAATAATATCTCATGTAACGAACGATGTTTAAAATCAAATAAATACATATATATATTATTTTTAAAATATTAAAATATATTTTTAAAACTTCTTATTAATAATTTTGTGTTAGGCATGCTTAAATCTAACTATAGGGAAGCTTCCTATTAACTGGGAAGACATTGGGTGATGACTCCTTTGAAGTGTATATTTTGGTTTCTCTTTACCAAGTTAGAGACTATTTGCTCACCCATTGTTACTAACACATCTAGTAAGCAAATTATGTTAATCAATTTTCTACCATTTTTTTTTTCAATAAATGTCATCCTAATTTATCCTTTTTTAACAATTATTGATCTTTTATCTCTTTTTAATTTGCATATAACCAGATGATAATATTCAAAATAAAACCATAATATTGAATAACAAGTTACTCCTCCAGTCTTAAACATAAGACCTTTATATATACTAGTATAAGAGTTTTATATTTAAAACTGAATGAATGTTAAATTAAAATTCACAAACATATCAAATGGGGCATGTTGAATTATTGAGTAGGTAAGATGTCCGATGTTATTATGGCACTGGTTTTTGGCAGTGTATAAACTAAAGTGCTTACATAAGGTGCATAATTAATAGAGGTGGGGGTAAGAGGAAGTACTATATATATAGGTATAGAATGAGTGTGAAATTGAGGGATCCTTTATTATCAAGGTTTCATCATGGCCACAAATATATTCTTCTTTCTTCCACAAAAACTAGCGAGCCAGCTTCATTCAAGTCGTACCTTGTCTCTACAACCTCTTAATTATCACAAGAAGAATTTTACCCCGCAAGGAAGTGAATAAATTTAAGTGCTAGGTGGAGTGATGAGGACCAAGAGCTCATCACCGTACCATTTAGATTTGATTTGGATGGTTCATATTGATTTTTGTTTACTTTTAATTTTTTTAAAAACATTATTTTAATATGTGCATAATCTCAAATGAAATAATTTATTAACCATTAATTTTTTTAAAAAAATAATTTTTTATTTTTAAATTATTAATTAAAAATTTTAAACCCGAATCATAGATTTCACGTCAAGTGATAAGTGGTATAATACTTACAAAAGTTATGTGAGAAAGAGAGAAACAATGGGGACCCATCGTTCTTTTTCCTTCCTTGTCAACACTTGCTCAAGCATTTTTCAAACTTACCAAACTGTATAAGGATCTTGTTCACACTTATTAGCATTTACTCAAATCTTGTTTAAGTTTGCTAAACCATACAAAAACCTTCCTTGTACTTGTTAACGCGTGTCCGAACTTTGCTTAATATTTCTTTGCACCACGTTGCACATGTGAACAAAAGATCTGACGTCCCTATCTTCTCACTCCATTTTCCACACATCACACTTGCATCAATAACTTCCTCAATTATCCTTAGTTTTTTTTTTAGTTCTATGGCTTGTATACATGCTAGCTATCATTAATATACAGTGCTAGTTGTATGAAATAAATGTATGAGATGAATTTTATCATATAACCTCAAAATTACTTATTTTAAACTGATGTTACGTAATCAAATACTCTTCTAGTCCTAAATATAAGACCCTTATACTAAAGGTTTTATATTTAGGACCAGAGGAGTATTAGACAAGTCTTGCGTTGGTAAGCGAGTTTTAGAAGCAAATATTCATATCATAATTCAATGTATATTAGTTATAAAGTCATAAATAATGTCGCTTTCAATTTCAAGT